TGTCTCGTCCTGTGTGTTCCATTTAAGCAGCAAGTTCTCGAGAGTGTTTTAGTTTTTGATTCTAATAGTTCCGTCTCTAGTTTCGATTTTTCCACCTGGAAACCAACTTTTTTGTCTATTTTAAAAACCTCTTGAATCTGAGCATAATGTAGCCAGTCTCGCACCTTATTTTTTAATTTCTCCTGGCTCTGCAACCTCCAATTGTCTCCAGTTTTTTCAATTATTTCCCAATATTTCGGCCAGTAGGCCTCCATGTTGGGTCTTTTTCGTGTTTATGAAGTGTTTTCGAGTAACTTTGGATTATGTGGGTGCTATGGTGTGTTACCCATTTAAAGAAATCTTAGCCAACTAATTGTGGGATGTTTACTTCATTTTAATTAAATTTATTTGCATATGAATAAAAATAAGAGTCATGAGGAAAGTTGTGCCTCATCCTAGAGAGGTTGGCAACACGAGAAACAGGGCCTTTCTGTGGTGGCTCCTTGACTGTGGAATGCTCTCCCCAGAGAGGTTCACCATCACTACATGTCTTTAGGCGCCAGGCAAAAACATTCCTCTTTACCCAGGGCTTTAGCCATTTAAAAAATTTATGGCCTGCTAAAGCTGGGGGGAGAAGGACGCGGGTGGCGCTGTGGGTAAAAGCCTCAGCGCCTAGGGCTTGCCGATCGAAAGGTCGGCGGTTCGAATCCCCACGGCAGGGTGCGCTCCTGCTGCTCGGTCCCAGCGCCTGCCAACCTAGCAGTTCGAAAGCACCCCCGGGTGCAAGTAGATAAATAGGGACCGCTTTCTAGTGGGAAGGTAAACGGCGTTCCGTGTGCTGCGCTGGCTCGCCAGATGCAGCTTGTCACGCTGGCCACGTGACCCGGAAGTGTCTTCGGACAGCGCTGGCCCCCGGCCTCTTGAGTGAGATGGGCGCACAACCCCAGAGTCTGTCAAGACTGGCCCGTACGGGCAGGGGTACCTTTACCTTTAAAGCTGGGGGGACCAGGAGGCTGTTATTATGGTCATTTTATTAGTATGCTATCTGTTATTATGCTTTTTATTATAGATGTTCATAAAATGCGCTCTTAATGTTGTGGATCACTCTGGGATCTTTTGATGAAGTGCAGTATATAAATACCATTCCCATACAACAGCAGCAAGAATACTTATTGCAAAGTATTGGAAGACACAAGACCTACCCACTCTGGAAGAATGGCAGATGAAGGTGAATGGACTACATGGAATTGGCGGAAATGACTGGCAGAATCCGAGACCAGGGAGAAGAGTCGATGGAAGAAGATTGGAAGAAATTTAAAGACTATTTACAGAAATATTGCAAAATTAATGAATGTTAGAATGATGTTGGATTGAAGTTAAGTGGTTTCTAGCTGTAATGGTATAAAAGAATATGAAAAAATGGATTTTTAATAGGCAAAAATTTAATGCTATAATAATTTAAGATTAAAGATCAGGATAAAATAAGGAGGGAAAGGAATTGCTGAACTAATAAATTGAACTGGAATACAAAAAAGGGAGGTATGAGGAGGTCCGGGAAACAAGTAAATGAAAGATAAGTGATGAAAGGATTGAATTGTTTTAAACTATTTTTATTTTGTATTTTTCCTTTTTTCTTTTTCATTTTGTAATGTTGTAAAAACCTTAATAAATATTTATAAAATAAATAAATAAATACCATTCCCAGTGTGTGGGAGTGAGAGCTGTGGTCATTCAAGGAGCACTCTCTGCATGCCCAGAGGCGACCTCTTTATTACTTCTTGGCCTATAATCCCCCCCCACAACTCTCTTTCGCTTTCCTCACAGGGGTGGTTCCAGATTTCTTCTCAGGTTCCGAGCTCCAGCCGTGGAACCGGGTTCTGGTGCCTAACCTCCAGCCGGTGTGACACCTCAGCTTGCAAATAAGCCCTGTTCACTCAGCACTTTTGGCAGTCACCAAGGAGGAAGAAAACCACGATGCAATACTGCATCATGGGAATCGGTTCGCAGGCTCCAAAGCGCTTCTGTCAGCCATGAAGGCCCGAGGCCTCCGCAGGAGAGAGAAGACCTAGCAGTTTTCTGACTCAACCGAGGAAGGCAACCAACCGTGTCAGGGAAGCCAGTGCTCTATAAATTGTCAACTGAAACCCCCTGAGCATTGAGGCAGCCCCCCCCCCCCAGTGGGGATGGAAACTCCTGTGGCTGAAATTCACCCAGTCAAGCAGGCAGCAAAGAAAAAAGCCAGTCAGAAATATGATGTGATTCCGGCTTCCAAAGTCACTTACAAGAAGTGGGCCTCGTTCCTGCTTACAGGGCAGAGCGGGAAAACCTAGAGAAAAAGCCGTGTTGCAAAGAACTGCTTGTTTGTTATCATATGTGCCAACTGCGTGGGGCAGCCCGTTTCCTCTCTGGGAAACAAGGGGGACAAACTAGCTGCGATGTTCGTCATGTTGTTTGTGTCGCTATTTCCCCCCTCGCTTTTTTAAATGTTATTTTACAAAAAGATGCTGCGCTGTAGAGGACCCCAAGCAGGACCATGTTGGTGAGGAGGGGAGGGTTAAGTCACCCCTCCGTGACGTGTCCCAGTCTGGCTTGACCCTCTCCCTACACACCAGCGATGCAATATGCCAAACTCAGTCTCATACAGTGGATGCTCGGGTTGTGAATGTGATCCATGCGGGATTCGCAACCCGCAGCGTTCACAACCCGCAGTGGAGCGTCTGCGCATGCACAGGTTGCGATTTGGTGCTTTGGGGCATGTGCAAAGTGCGATTTAGCGCTTCTGCGCATGAGCGACCGCCAAAACCCAGAAGTAACCCATTCCAATATTTCCAGGTTTCAGCGGTCCGTAACCCGAAAAAACACAACCTGAAGCGTCTGTAACCCGAGGTATGACTGTATTGCCCTTACTGACTTCTCTGGAAGGGGGAATTTCAGACCTGAGGGCCAAAGGTGAACCTCCTGGCCTTTCTATTTGGTCCTATGGATTTTCCCCAGCTGTGCCTGTTTACCAGGCCTGCTTCCCACTTCCACTGAGTGGTTTTTGTTGTGGTTGTAGTTCTGACGGGAGTGTGTCCTTGCACTCTGATCATGCCTCTTGCTTGCATAGACGCAGGACAAAGGGGGGGGGGGTGTAGTATCTACAAAAACTGGCCCAGAGGTGAGGTTTGCAGTCAACGCTCCATCCATTTTGGCCCAACACTACACACAAGAATACATGTTCGAGGAGTGAATTGTGTTTGGCTGCAATCTTCATTGGAACCGGTGGGATTGACTTCTGAGTAGACATGTTTTGGTATTGCACGGTTAGTCTCAAACACACGTAGAGGATAGTTCCATTGTGGCACTTTAAAAACTAGCAGGTGTCAGGGCCAGAGTCAGACACACGAAAGAAGCAGAGCTTCCTTGTCAGTGAAGTTAACTCTTTATTCAAAGAAATGGCATACAAGACCTTACTTGGAAAATCAATACAACCCAGGTGGTTAGGAAAGCCCAACAGAGACTCCATCTCCTCAGAGTATTGCAAAAGAACGATGTCAATCAACATTTGATGTTCTCCTTCTACCAGTCCACAATAGAAAGTGTCCTTTCATACTGCATCACGGTGTGGTACGCTGGTTTGACATCAACTGATAGGAAGTGCCTACAGAGGGTGGTGAATACAGCACAAGATATTATGGGCTGTCCCGTGAATCCGCTGGATGAAATAGCGGAAGAACGTTGCCTCAGGAGCGTGAGGAAAATTCTCAGGGATGATTCACACCCTGGCCGGCACTTTCTGGATCTCCTGCCCTTGGGCAGAAGATATAGAAGCATGATTAGTCGCACACACAGGGTAAAGAACAGCTTCTATCCATGGGCCGTTAGGCTGCTGAATGAAAAGATAACAACAGGGCAACTGACTTTCGGGTTTGGTGGGTGTGCGTCAGTAAACGAGGGGAATTAAGACTAAGAGAGCTGAGTGGGGGGTGCTTGTGTAATCTCACTGTATACAAGTTGTACAAGTGACAATAAAGTATTTCAATTTCAATTTCAATACAACTCAGCAACCCTCCTTAGCAGCTCCTGCCCCTATGGACTGAGGTTCTCTGCCTCCCACCCTCCCTAATGCTCCTCTCCCAGATGTTTCCTAAGCAGTCTCACGTTGCATCTGCGCACCTCTGGTCATTACTCTTCAATTTATTGGAGGTCAGGGGTGGAGCTTGTCGCAGCAGGAGAGGGAGACTCCCTGGATTCCCCAGCTGCCGCTTGACCCCCCCCCTCCTCTGCTTCAGCCTCGGAGTCTGAACTGCTCTCTGTCACAGCCTCTTCCTGCTCACTAAACCCTGTTGCTCCTTCAGCATCCAGCTCCTCCTCCCAGTCTTCTCGCCCTGACCTCTCCTTAGTGTTCCACCACCAATCCCTGGGCTCTGAGCCTTCCTCCTCTAGGGTTTCCCTTGGGGGTTCCCTAGCTGGTGCCTCCCACCACTCCTCTTCATCCAGCCAGTCCCTGACAGCAGGTGTATTGAGACATTTATGCTGACATATGCCTACTCTAATAACTGTGATCTCTCTGCTCCATGCCCCCCCCCCTTCAATGCTACTGATTATCTGCAGGGCCAAACTACAACCCGAGGTACCACTGTAGAACGTGATCTACTGGTAGATCACTGGACATCTGTGGTAGATCACCGGTAGATCACTGACTCCCCCCAAAGAAGCTCAACAACTTTGTCTCCCCTAAGAAAAGCTCAACATTATTGCTTTGCACCCCCCAAAAACGGGGCTTTCCTCCTCCCTAAAAAAACTTTGACCTGAACCCCTAAAAAACGGGCCTTCCTCCTTCCTAAAAAAAGCTCAAAAACTTTGACCTGAACCCCTAAAAAACGGGGCTTTCCTTCCTAAAAAAAGCTCAACCCCCCCAAAAAAACCCAGGGCTTTCCTTCCTAAAAAAAAGAATTCAACAACTTTGACCTGAACCCCAAAAAAGGGGGTAGATCATTGCCAGTTTTTAACTCTGTGAGTAGATCGCAGTCTCTTGAGAGTTGGCCACCCCGATATATAGGATCGCACGGGGGCGTCGGATTGCACTGTAGCGCCACCCTCACCTGGAGATAACAGAACTCTCCTATGCGTGCGCTGCGCCTTTAATATTTACGGTTCTCCTCCCCACCTCCCTGCTCGAAGTACAGTACCGTCAACACCAAGCCGGGCTCCTCCGCAGTGGCTTTTCTTAGGATGGATGAATTGAAGATGTAAGCCTACCCGCCTAGCTGGGGGTGTCTCCTGGTCAACCGTGAGGGAGAGGAAAAGGAGCCACCTCCTGCCGTTTGGGGGGGGGAAGAGCCAGGATTTGCCCCACCCCCAGGAAATCCCTCCTGCCGAGGACCCCCTCCCAGGGTAATAATATTATTGCAGGAGACCTTCTTATGGTTACTAGGGCTTTACGCGCTAGATCTTCCCAACTAAGTCCATACTCCGGAGGAGACCCACTGAAGTCAATGGACGGAAGCTGGGCGTCAGGGGCCAGGGCTTTCAATGGGTCTACTCTTGAGTAGAAGCTTAGTCGGAGGCACGGATCTCCTTTTCTCGCCCATTGCATCGCTCAGGAAGCGAGCGGTGGGGGAGCAAGGAGTACTGAATCTCACCCAAAGGTGTACATCTCCAGGCCTTCTAAAACTGAGAGGTTTGGTTGAGTGAAAACGAAATAACGTTTGCAAAAGGAAATAAAACGTGTACGGAGGGACTACCCTGCTTGGGACCTCTATAATAATTGTGTGGATGGTTTATTATCCCAGCAAACCCCATTCTGTCTTCCGAACACCCTGTGATTATTCATTATTTCTTACTATTCCTGCACAGAAATAAGTATAATTGGTGTCGCCACTCGCTGTCATTCCCTCACTTCCAAAATTAAAATTTAATTTTGGGGCATAAATGCACAGTTTACCTGGGCGTAAATATCATTGAACTGGGTGAGACCTACACCTGAGTGACTGTGCCTAGGACTGCACTTTTGGAAGGTTTTTATTTTATTTTATTGAAGTGACGTTTTGGCAAAAGCTATGAGTTAGCGTACAACCAGGGTAATAAACCGATATTAAAAGTATCCCGCACACATCTGCCTGTCTAGATATAATAATATCTGGGGGTTTGTGCAAGGAAACCACAGGTATTTTCCTTTTTTTGAATGAGGGAAATCCTGTGGACCTCTTTCACTTGCTGTGGCAAAGAACTTTGCTTTTTATAGCAGAATGGTGAAATGGTTTTGTCCACAACATGCTTCATCCAAACACAGCAGGAGGGTGAGCAGCCTGGAAGGCAGAGATGATATTTTTCCTTCAGGTAAATAATTGGCTTATAACAGGGATGCAGCGAAAGTTAGCAGTGCAGGTGGCTGTCCCCCAACAATATCTTCAGAGATTTTAAGTAGGATATAGCTCAGCTGGTGGACCATGAGACTCTTAATGTCAGGGTCGTGGGTTTGAGCCCCGGGCAGAAGATTCCTGCGTTGCAGCGGGTTGGACTAGATGACCCTCTCGGTCCCTTCCAACTCTACAATTCTATTCTTCTCCGTGTCTTATGTCATGAGTGCCGAAAAGAAACATGCAGCAAAGTTTGAAAAAAGTGTGCTTGTAAAAGCAATAATAAATGCAGATGGAAGGCTGTGCCCTTTGTATCTGAAGTATGCAGATTTATTCAGAAATCACAGCCAAACTTCAAAGATTAATTCCCCAAATACTGGAACCCAAACAATCCCTGTGTGCCAATGAGCAGCTTTGCATTTTTATTGTTTGCACTCCAAGCCAAGGCCTGGTTACTCCAAAGGAAGTCCCACGGATTTCAGTGAAATTTACTTCCATGTAAGCACACCTGGACACGGCTGCATTATCCCCACAAGAGGCGTGAGGTAGAATTCTGTTTAACTGCACCAACTGTCTCCTTTTAAACTGAAAAATTCTGGTGCAAAAACAGTTCTCTGGTGCAGCAGCCTATGGGGAGAAGAGACTTATTTGCATATGTAATACGATTGGCTACCTTTTACACCAGATTCTTCATTGGAAGATGCTGGTGACCACTTTGGTCTATGGTCCCAGGAGTCTAAGAAGCGGTTGTTATTACCTTGGGGTGACTAAGAGAGATTTCTTTATTTATTCATAACAAAATTTACATATCGCTTGATTGTATGAAAACCTCTGAGTGGTTTTCAAAAAAAAACCAGCCACGTTGGGGGTTAGTAATGACTACCGTTCACCAACCCACCCTCTTCCCATTAAGTAAAACGAAAGCAAAATACAGCCCCACAGCTGATATATTTTGTTTATTTCATACAATGATTTCCACCCAAGACCTCAAGGGGGTATATATGCTTGCTTACTTTCTCATTTTATCCTTGCGACAACCTGTGAGGTTGGAGAGTCTGGGAGATCATTGTTGCTCCTTCACTCCCTCACCAGGGTGGCAATGGGTGGCGTGACTGAGAAGCCGCTACATAACGAATGAACTAGGCTATGGGTTCCTTCTATGCCCTTTCAAGCATCCTTTTTAGTGCTCATTCATGATTATTTGGGTTCCTAATGCTTTTGGGATGGTCACGTATGACCCCACCCATACAGCGATAACATACTAGCATTGCGGAAGTGTCACAGAGCGAACGTAAACAGAATCATTCCACCACCAGTGCTTCATTTTACTATGTGAAGAACATGTTGCAGAAAACACCAAAAATTGATTTTATCTAGATCTTGACAGATTGAATGCAATCTAAAAAAGAGACCTGTCCCATGTAGGAACTCATTTCAAACACCTAACTGGACGGCACAGCGTTTACACAATTAGCAATTGAGATAATGACTTTTTGAAGTAAATTGCAGGCAAGGGAGGCCTGATCTGCACTGGGACCCTGCTGCTTTGGGGGGCGGGAGGGGGCGCAGAGGGGCTTTAAACCTTTGTTTCTTGCAAATGTTCAAACCTTTAAACCTTTGTCTCTAGTTGGAAATGAAGCAGTATGGCCACCCCAAACTTTTTGCAAGTGTGGATTGCATCAAAAACAGAAGTGTGTATGACCCCCGTTAATAGCACTGTGAACACAAACGATCATGAATGTGTGATAAAAAGGCATGGGGCGAGGCCATAGATACAGGGGAGCAATATCCTGATCTCACCATGGCTAACCAGATCCCCGTAGGAATACCAAAACAGAAGTCCGCTTTTGTTGTCTTGCTGTTAATCCCCATGCTACGGGAATATAATTTAAAAATACGCGGACATCTCCAAATATCAAGGGTTTTGCTAATGCAAAGTTGATGCTGACAACTTTGGACCAAATATAATTTATCACTGGAGAAGCCCGCCTCATATGCCTCAGTGAGGCATTCTCAGAAATGCTGAGAAGTGTATCACTTTTCATAACATCACAGCGTGTTTCTTTTTAATTTTCATTACCGAAGTTGAGGACTATAGGGCAAACAGCAGGATATCAGTGGGGTATTGATAACAGAACACCAAAAAGTTAAACATTCATTTGTGAATAAGTGCTACATAGAGAAGCCATATATATATATATATATATATATATATATATATATATATATGCAGGTTTTGGTGTCCTCGGGTGTCTTCCCGTGTAAAAGTTGGGGTGTCTAGGCGACGTTTCGACGAGGTCTCACTCGTCATCTTCAGGCTGGTGCTTTCGGCTTCTTGTTACTAGTAACAAGAAGCCGAAAGCACCAGCCTGAAGATGACGAGTGAGACCTCGTCGAAACGTCGCCTAGACACCCCAACTTTTACACGGGAAGACACCCGAGGACACCAAAACCTGCATTCCTGTACCCGTGAAAATCTACGAAAGCATATATATATATATATATAATGTTTCTTAAATAAGAACCGGACTGAGAAACATGGAAAGCTTAAAATCAAAGAATTATAGAGTTGCAAGGGACCACGAAAATCGTCTAGTCCAGCGGTTCTCAACCTGTGGGTCCCCAGATGTTATTGGACTACAACTCCCATCATCCCTGAGCTCTGGACTTGCTAGCTGGGGTGATGGGAGTTGTAGTTCAACAACATCTGGGGACCCACAGGTTGAGAAAGACTGATCTAGTCCAACCCTCTGCGGTGCAGGAATCTTAAACCCATGGCACTGTGATTAAGAGTCTTATGCTCTACCAATGGCGCTGTTATTCCTGTAGCAACAGCAGCAACAAAATTGGTCTTTGTGCTCTTTCAACAGGTTATGAGAAGGAGATACTGTTGCTCCTACCTTGGTGGAGTTTTGTAATACCAGATCCGGTGGATCTGAGCGCCCCCTTAGTGCGCAATGGAGAAATCTCAGCAGAAAGACCGAAAAAACCGCAAATCCTCGAAACAAGATGCCCAGCCTGCTGAACAGAAACTTGACACCGGTAACCGAGGGCTGAAGAAAGTGAGCAACAAGACCGTGATAACAGGAGGTGCTGGCTATTTTGGCTTTAGCCTTGGCCGCGCCCTTGCCAAAGCAGGAACCAGTGTGATTCTCTATGACATTAACCAACCCCTCTGGGAAATTCCAAAAGGAGTAGTATTCGTACAGGTATTTATCATTTATTATTATGATCGGAACACCCCACTTTTCTTTTCCTTAAGCAACATATCATGTAGAGAGAGATTATTGTCTGCTGTCAGGTGTAAGGCAGGTAAAGTGTGGTTGTGGGGGAAGGGTTTGCAAGCACCAGTGATCAGTGGCACCTGCTGCAATGGGAGTTGGTTGGGGTAGGTGACTATGATCTCTGCAAGATCGGGGGGGGGGGTGTCCAATCCTGCCTGTTTTGAACTTTCCAAGGACCAGGAAAACCCTCATTTAAAGGAGGGAAGTTGTGGTTCGAGGACCCGTACCCCGTGCAGTGGAATGAAACACAAGGACACGTGATATAAGGTTAATGGGCAAGAAAAGGCCACAACTTTATTGATTACAGCAAGTGAAAAGGTATTGGCTTAGGCATTGGATTACGTCAGCTGACTCCACCCCCTCAGAGAGGGGTGAGTCTGAAACAAGGGGGGTTTATTCACCAGTAGGTGGAGCCTGTTGATGCTAATCCAACTATAGGCTCTCCCCTGATGTCACTGAGGGTCGTGCCATGGCCTCCTGCCAAGCAGGCATCGGACAGGACAACGAAAAGTGAGGGCTGGAGGCTGGCACCGCAGCAATTTAGGCTGCTGTACACGCCCCCCCTTGAAGGCACCTGGTTGGGTGCCTGGCCGAGGGCGTGGGCGCCAGCCAGGTGAGTGGGAGGCAGGGGGAAAACGCCCCCTGCTTGAGGCGGAGTCCGGCTCCCGGCCACAACCACTCCCCTCTCTTGCAGGGAGGAGAGTCTTTCCAGGACAACACAATGGGATGGGAAGGACAGCCTGTGGCTATGCCTATATTAATGAGACAGGCAAGTGCAAATCCAGAGTTCTCCAGTATGGACAAACGCTCTCTCTTTCTGCATAGACACCCATTGGATTAGCTTTGCAATCCTTCCATCAGAGGGATGAATGGTGTGTGAGGCCTCCTCCAACTCTTATGATGGCATGATTTGCATAGTATGTCTCGTGACCCTTTGCAATGACAGAGAAGATCTGCGTGATCAAAGAACTGGGTCTCTTCCCTGTTGCTGGTGGCCTTAGAGTGTGTACCTTGGCTTCTCAGCATCCTTTGTTGTCTCTTGCCTGGGGGAAAAACATTGCTGACCCCCACTCAGGAGTATGTGATCTCTGTGTTCTAGGCAGACGTGAGGCACTATGACCCGCTATATGCAGCCTGCGAAGGGGCAGACTGTGTCATTCACGCAGCCGCGTACGGAATGACAGGATTAGAACAAGTGAGTCGGCTTCTCTTCGTCTTGAGTTTCTGCAAGGAATCAACCCCTTTCACGTGGCTTTTCCAGATTGTGTTGAACAGATTTTCAGAAAATTTCCCGCTATCCTAAATCAAACGGAGATCGGTTGGTAGTTTTTTCCAGGGCCCGTCCCTTTCAGAAAGGAAAATAAAACACAGTAGACTCTCAGGCAAAGAAGCACTGAGTGGATACAGACAGTCTGGGATAGCTCAGTCCGTAGAGCATCTCAGGGTCGTGGGTCCAATCCCCACATTTGACAAAAGAATCCTGCACTGCAGGGGGTTGGACTAGATGATCCTCTGTCAAGGAGCTGTCAGGCGAGCACAGGTCATCCACAAGTCAGGAAAGAACTTGAGACACAGAATGCAATTAGCTTTTAATTCACAGAAAGGAAGCAACACAGCAGCGTCCCTCTGGCTTGTCTCACCTAGCTCCTTCCCCTCTCACTCCAGATACCTCCCAAGCAGATGTGAAATGCGGCAAGGGGGCGGGCTCCTCCTCTGGGCCTGTCTGGCCCATTGCTGAGCAGCGTGCAGGACCCTCATCAAGTGGGGAGTCTGGGGAGGAGAGCCAGTTGCTTGGCAGCAGAGGCAGCCTCGGACTCTTCTCTCTCTGAGTCTGCACTCCCGCTGAGACTCTCAGCACCTAGCGCTGTCTTGGAAGACCTTCCTTCTCCTGACACACGCCCCCCCCCCCCCGCCGATCACTCAGCCCTCCTGCATCTAGCATCTCCCAGCTTGACACTCCTGCACATTGGCCCCCTGTGTCCCACCACCACTGTCCTGGGTCTAAGTTGCCATCTTCTGTGTCCTCCCTGGAGGGGTCTCTTGGACAGGTGGCGCCCAACGCTCTTCCTCGTCCGGCCAGACCCTGACACCCTCATGGTCCCTTCCAATTCTATGATGCTTTGAAAAAAGATGCCTGAGTGATGCTGAATTAGATCACAGACATTCCCTTAAGCAAAGGCAACAGTAAGAATTTGTACACTTTTTAAGAAGAGAAATGTTTTATTTTCAGTAAACAATGTACTGAGAGGGGTGCATAGGTAAATTATCATTTGCTGTTCCACATCCACTTTTGGCCCCACCTAGAAACATGTGACCTCTGGAGGACTATAAAAGGTTCCCTATGCTTGATTTCACCCAAGACTAACTAGCAGTTCTCCAGGGTCTTGGGCAAGACTCCTTCCCATCACTTGTGGTCTGAACCTTCTAACTGAAGATGCCAAGGAACGTACCTGGGACCTTCAGCAGGTACACAGCCTCTGAGCAATAGCCCTTCTTGACCGCTTTTTTCAGATTATTATTATTATTATTATTATTATTGGCGAAATTCAACTTTTACAAGCTGGCCTTCTTGCCACCTAGGGAGCAAGCCAAGCCAATTCTCCAGAGACCAAAACAAGCTAAAGCAATTCATTTTGCTTTGATTGCAGCAGCTGGTGCGACATTAAACCTCTTCCTGCTTTTCCTAGATGCACAAGAGACATATTCGGTCTGTCAATGTCGGAGGAACCAGTGTCGTCATTGAAGGTGCGTACAGCCTCAGTGCTTTGTTTTGGATGAGCCCAGGCTGAGGATCATCGATGGTCGGCTTGTTTACATACCACATCTCCCACAAATAAATCTCTGCTCAAAAGCAGTTCGCACAAAAGCCAGTCTAAATACGATAAAGAATAATAATGGTAATTTATTACTTATATGCTGTCCACCTGACTGGGTTGCCTCAGCCACTCTAGGCAGCTTCCAACACATTAAAACATAGTAAGACATAAGACATTCAAAACTTCCCTAAACAGGGCTGCCTTCAGATGTCTTCTAAAAGTCAGATTGTTTATTTCCTTGACATCTGATGGGAGGGCATTCCATAGGGTGGGCGCCACTACCCAGAAGGCCTTCTGCCTGGTTCCCTGTTACCTCACTTCTCACTATGAGGGAACTGCCAGAAGGCCCTCGGAACTGGACCTCAGTGTCTGGGTTGAATGATGGTGGTGGAGACACTCCTTCAGGTATACAGGGCCAAAGCAGTCTAAGGTTTTAAAGGTCAGTACTGACACTTTGAATTGTGCTCGGAAAAGTACTGGGAACTAATGTAGATCCTTCAGGACTTCAGGACTGTGTCCCGGCGGCTGCTCCCAGTATCACTCTGGCAGCTGCATTTTGTCTTAGTTGTGGTTTCTGAGTCACCTTCAAAGGTAGCCCCACGTAGAGCGCATTGCAGTAGTCCAAGTGGGAGCTAACTAGAGCATGTACTGCTGTGGCAAGACAGTCTGCGGGCAGGTAGGGTCTCAGCCTGCGTACCAGATGGAGCTGGTAGACAGCTGCCCTGGACAAAGAACACAATAAGACAACATCACTGCAACATAATGCAAAAAAACCCAAGAATCAACAATTAAGAATTAATTTATCAAGGATAAACATTTAAGAAGTAAATATACAGCTTACTAATAGTTCAGGCTAAAGTATTCATTAAGCAATTCCCTTCTGCAGGCTCCTAGGGCTGGAGGGTGGAGCAAAACCAATCACCCCCTGATAGCAACCCCAGAGTCTCCCCACCACCACGGTTCTTTCTCTAGAAAGAGCTCCCTTTTGAAGGCTCCTAGGGACACAGGTGGCACTGTGGGTTAAACCACAGAGCCTAGGACCTGCCGATCAGAAGGTCGGTGGTTCGAATCCCCACAACGGGGTGAGCTCCCGTTGCTCGGTCCCTGCTCCTGTCAACCTAGCAATTCGAAAGCAAGTCAAAGTGCAAGTAGATAAATAGATACCGCTCCGGCGGGAAGGTAAACGGTGTTTCCATGCGCTGCTCTGGTTTGTCAGAAGTGGCTTAGTCATGCTGGCCACATGACCCGGAAGCTGTACTCCAGCTCCCTCAGCCAGTAAAGCGAGATGAGCGCCGCAACCCCAGAGTCGGCCATGACTGGACCTAATGGTCAGGGGTCCCTTTACCTTTACCTAGGGCTGGAGGATGCTATAATGTGAGCTGGGGCAGAATCATTTGTTGGCTGCTGTTGCAGCCATCCTGAGATACCAGTCCTTTCCCTCAGGAAAGCAGATTTCCATTTGCCTCCTTCCCTCAACGAAGTGCTTTGTGTTTCCTATGTCTCTGCAGTCTGCAAGCGGCGAAGCGTCCCCAGGCTGGTCTACACAAGCAGCATCAACGTGGTGTTTGGCGGGCAAACCCTTATTGACGCCGACGAGCAGAGTGTGCCTTATTTTCCTTTAGCAGAGGTATTGGGACTGCTCCCCTTTTTAGCATTTGGCTGCAACCGACGGTTGGGGGGGGGGCAAGAGAGAGGAGGGCCGAGTTGTTTTTTTAAATGGCCTCCCCACAACACAAGAGAAATTACGTGTTGTTTTTTTCCAGCCTGTGGCTTTGGATCCAAAGTGTAGGGGTGGATCCGAAGAACTGGGGGAGGCTGGTCTATTAGCCTTCTGTCTGCCCTCACCCCCACCTCCCTGCCTTCCTGCTTAGAAGCTCATAGATAAACTATGGTACTTTAGGGGCTGTGATGGCCACTAATTTGGGTGGCTTTAAAAGAGGATTAGACTGTGATGGCCTGAGACTCGGGCTCGGAGCCAGAGGAGACTCAGTCTGCACCAGATCCTTTGCCTCAGGCATCATCTGAACCAAGTCTGGGGCCTGATCCTGAAGAGTCCCAGTCTGCACAGGTTCCCCTGCAACAAACACCAGCTGGGCCGAGTCAGGGGCCTGAGCCTGCCCTGGCTCCAGATGTGGGGATTACCCCGTTGCCTTCAGCTGGGCCATCACTTACATCTGCTCCACTACCGGTTGGGTCAGGGGAGGCTGAGGCGGCCTCTGGGTCTAGTAACCCACCGACGTCTCCCGAGCTGCAGAGACTGAGGTCTGAGAGAACGAGAGACCTGAGTACTCACAGGAGAAGCACTTGCCTTTGGGTGAAACAGGGAGGTGAGTCGCTGGGGGATCAGGACTGGCTGCTACCCCGACAAAGATAAAAGGCTGTCGGACCCTGCCCCAGGTTGCAGGAGCAACATTGCTGTATGCTAGATGCTGCCGGAGATCCTGTACCTGTCCTTGCCTGGTTTTCTGCCTCGTGTCCTGCCTTGGCCCTGTCAGACTGTCTCCCAGCGGAACCTTCGGATTCTGGACTGGACCTGGACTGCGTTTCACGGGTTACCCCCAGGCCCAGCACATAGACAAATTCCCAGAGGACCAGGCTATCAAGGACTACTAGCCATAATGGCTCTGCTCTGCCTCCACAGTCAGAGGCAGCAGTGCTTCTGAATACCATTTGCTGGAAACCACAGGAGGGGAGAGGGCTCTTGTGCTTGGGTCCTGCTTGTAGGTTTCCCACAAGCATCTGGTTGGCCACCATGAGAACAGGATGCTGGACTCGATGGGCCATTGGCCTGATCCAGAAGGTCTTAGAACCAGTCATGTTGTGCCCCTGCCTGTCTGTCGTTGGGTTTGGCTACTGCTAGTCTCCTTGCCTTCTGTCCTACCAGTCCTTGTGGGCACTTGCCTCTTTTCCCTTCTCCTTCTCCTCCTCCTCATCTCTTCCCCACCAGCCAGTGGTGTATGATGGGTTGCCAGTGCCCAGAGACACGTGGAGGGGTTGGTTGGTTGGATGGGAGGGAAATGGCTGCTTGCGCATCCAGCTGCTTAAAAGCGTCCGCAATCACCCAAGAGATTGCAGCCACAGAGATAAGGAAAAATAGCTCTTCCATTGTCTGGAGAGGTTGCTTCCCAGTTTGCATTTAGAAGCTGTTTTCTTTTTCTTTTTTTGAAAATAATTTTTATTAAGTTTCCATTTACCAAATCAAACATATCATACCAATTAATCCAAATTATAACAATACAAATGATAAAATCCAAATATTTTCCAAATTATAAATTTTTGTGGGGGGTACCCATGCTTCAAGATCGGCAGGAGTCCAATCATCTATATTTCTACTGCTTTGATGTTTCCAATGATGTTTTCAGCCCCATCTTCTCATCTCCTTGTCGTTACTCATTTTCCTTTTCGGTCACCTCCAAGTTGTCTCCGCAAGTGGATTGAAAGAAACAGTCTTGTTTATATTTCTGTGTGGACTTTGTAATGCTCTCTCGTAGATGACTCACATAAATCCAATAGTCAGGAGTTCCGTTTGAGCAGGCGTCACCATCTTGTTCCATTCTGATGAAATACAGTCTAAGTGTCCGCTCATTAACTTTCCCAGACCCGCTGCATCGCAAATTAGTCTCTCCAGGAGGATTATCGCCCTTTCGAATTTACGATCCCACCCTGATAACAGATCAAGGGCTCATCCTCCCTAAGACCATATATCATGCAACGAAGGTCTGCCTGTCCATGTCGGATCACATTTTAACTGCGTCACAGAGAGAGCCTCTCTTCTTCCAAATCTTTCATAGAATAAAACCTTCAATTCCTATTATTTTCCCCCACACAGTTTATTTTTAGTCCCACTTGCAATTAGTCGTAGTGATGGTTCTTCCAAGGGGGAGGGTTGTTAGGTAAATCATATTGAAAAAGTAGAAAGTTCCCCCCCCTTCCATTCCGTTCCACATACCAATATGTCTGCGATTCTTTGATGTTGTCCTCTATTCCTTCCGTCCCAATCATCTCAGTGGTAGAATTATTAGCAGATAAGACACTCCTGACCTCTCTTGAAGCATGTGCGTTTACTTCTCCAATTTTTTCCTTCTTTTTAAGCAACGCAACCAGTGTCGCTCTTGGAAGCAGCTTCCAGGAGTTCCAGAGCCCACTCGAGGTGCGCCCAGTGCCTCTCACCCCCTCCTTCATCCGAACTCGGGGGTGATTTATGGCAACCGCGGGCGAGGACAGCATCTCCCCCCCCCCGGAAGATGAGGGAGACTGATTTACTTCCCATAATCAGCCTCTAATTACCTCGTGCGAGCTGGAGAGATGGTATTGCCGGCCATCTTCCAAGGCGCCCCTAGCAGCCCCCTCTAGAAGCTGTTTTCAACGGGGCCCAGTGATAGAAGCGTGCAGCTGGACTGAGGCAGCGCTGGGTGTTGAAAGTATCCAGGGAAGCAATTTTGTTTTTTTTTATAAATATTTTTTATTGCGTTTCTTTCCATGGGTTTACAAGTTCAAAAATACAAGAGTAAAAAACAAGAAACAGATTATAAAGATATAAGAAAATAAAAAAGCATAGATATATATCAAATCCTCTTTCCATAATTTATCACTGTCAATTGGACCTCCTCACATCTTCCAGGCCTTGCGTTCTATACAATAACAATGTCAGCAATTTGTTACCTTACTTCGCAACTTACTGTAACTTTCAATTATTATGTTTCCAAGTTCAGAGTGTTATGACCCAGTTTTTGTACCTTTAAAATAAACATAATATATTTGTTTCACATTTGTCTCCTCTTTTTTTCCTTTGTTATCACTTACTTTACCATTTACTTAATCAAATTGCGAAAGCATAACATTTCCTAATCGTGCACATTCTTAACATTCATACAGTTTATAATGTTTTTGCAAATAGTCTTTAAATTTTTTCCAGTCCTCCTCTATTTTTTCCTCGTCCAAATCTCGGATTCTGCCAGTCATTTCAGCCAGTTCCATATAGTCCATCAGCTGCGTCTGCCATTCCTCCAGTGTGGGTAAATCTTGTGTCTTCCAGTGCTTTGCGATGAGAATTCTTGCTGCTGTAGTTGCATACATAAACAAGGTTCTATCCTTTTTTGACACCTTCCGGTCCACCATGCCCAGAAGGAAGGCCTCCGGTTTCTTAGGAAAGGTATATCTAAATACCTTTTTAAGTTCATTATAAATCATTTCCCAGAAGGCCTTCACTTTTGGGCAGGTCCACCAGAGGTGAAAGAATGTCCCTTCTGCCTCTTGACATTTCCAACATTTATTATCAGACAGGTGATATATCTTAGCTAACTTGACTGGGGTCATGTACCACCGGTATACCATTTTCATAATGTTTTCTTTCAAGGCACTACATGCCGTGAACTTCATTCCGGTGTTCCATAACCTTTCCCAGTCTTCTGACATAATGTTATGTCCAACATCCTGTGCCCATTTTATCATGGCAGATTTAACTATCTCATCCTGTGTGTTCCATTTAAGCAACAAGTTATACATTCTCGAAAGTACCTTAGTCTTTGGTTCTAACAGTTCCGTCTCCAATTTCGATTTTTCCACCTGGAAACCAACTTTTTTATCCATTTTAAAAACCTCTTGAATTTGAGCATAGTGTAACCAATCTCGCACCTTACTTTTTAATTTTTCCTGGCTCTGCAACTTCCAATTATCTCCAGTTCTTTCAATTATTTCCCAATATTTTGGCCAATGGGCCTCCATATTGGGTCTTTTTCGAGCCTTGGCCTCCATCGGTGATAGCCACCTCGGGGTCTTACCTTCTAATAGGTCTTTGTATTTCATCCAGACGGCAAAAATTGCTTTTCTGACAATATGGTTTTTAAACAATTTGTGCGCTTTCACCTTGTCGTACCACAAATATGCATGCCAACCAAAGATATTGTCAAACCCTTCCAGATCCAGGACATCAGTGTTTTCCAGCAGGAACCAATCTTTCAACCAGCAGAAGGCTGCAGCTTCATAGTACAACCTCAAGTCCGGCAGGGCAAACCCCCCTCTTTCTTTCGAGTCAGTTAATATTTTAAATTTTATTCGGGGTTTTTTGCCCTGCCAGACAAACCTAGATATATCCTTCTGCCATTTTCCAAAACATTCCACTCTGTCCACGATCTGTAGGGTTTGGAACAAAAATAACATTTTCGGCAATACATTCATCTTTATAGCTGCGATTCGGCCCGACAAGGTGAGTTTCAATCTTGACCAAATTTCCAAATCCTTTTTGATTTCCGTCCAACATTTTTCATAATTGTCTTTAAATAAATTCAAATTTTTAGAAGACAAATATACCCCTAAGTATTTCACTTTTTTAACCACACTTAATTCTGTTTCTTTCTGGTACCCATCTGTTTCTGTAGGTGTCAAATTTTTAGCCAAAACCTTAGTTTTCTGCTTGTTCAGCTTAAATCCCGCCACCCGACCAAACTCAGAAATAAGTTCTAAAACTCTTTTTGTACTAGATTCTGGCTCCTGTAATGTTAAAACTAGGTCATCTGCAAAAGCTTTCAGTTTGTATTGTTTCACTCCGACCTCTACTCCTTGTACCTGCCGGTCCTCCCTAATCATGTTCAGCAACACCTCCAGGACCGAAATAAATAAAAGAGGAGA